TCAAATGCCAGCAAAAAACACAGATGAATTTGCCAATAAATATAGTATTTTCAAAGTCCTAGAAATTTCTATTTTATAGTCAAACTTGTAACTGTGCTAGAAAATATCCTTAAATATAATATCATTAAGTATAGATTAGCATTTCTGATGATTCTTTTTGGCAAGTATAGCTACTGCAGTCTTTGACTGGTTTGTTCTATTTAGTTCTTTACTGATGTAATCACCAATCTCCACTGTTTTATGTAAATCTATGCCAGTTTCCAATCCTTCGCCCTCCAAGAAATACAATAGATCCTCTGTGGCAACATTTCCTGAAGCACCAGCGGCATATGGGCATCCACCAAGTCCAGCAACTGAAGAATCAAAGACTCTTATACCATTTTCAAGACCAATGTGTATATTCATCAAGGCCTGGCCATAAGTATCATGACAGTGCAACGCATAGTAACTCATGTCGTTTGAAACATGGAGCAGTTCATTTAAGACACGTTTGATCTTCTTTGGAGACCCTACGCCTATGGTATCACCCAGAGAAATCTCATAACACCCAAGATCTAACATTATCGAAGCTAAATGTGCTGTGGTAGTTGGTTTAGTTTCACCTTCGTAAGGACAGCCAACAATACAGGATATGTAACCCCGAGTTCTGATGTCATGCTTTTTTGCTTCCTCCATCACTACCCTAAAATTCCTTATGCTCTCCTCGATAGAACAATTGATATTAGTTTTGGAAAAGGTTTCTGACGCTGCACCAAACACAGCGATTTCTTTCACACCTGTTGCAATAGCACTCTCTAAGCCTTTCATATTTGGTACCAGTACTGGATAAGATACACCGCTTCGTTTTTCAATTTGTTGAAAGACCTGTTGATTGTCTGCCATCTGAGGAACCCATTTCGGAGATACAAAGCTGGTAACTTCAATGCTTCTCAATCCGGTCGCTGACAATTTATTAATAAAATTGACTTTGACTTTAGTAGGCAGTATTTTTTTCTCATTTTGAAGTCCATCTCGTGGTCCAACTTCGACCACTTTAACAAAATCGCTAAATTGTCTTATTGTATAATTCCAGACGCAATTGCGAATATTCGATGGCAATATCACCTGTCTCGAGAATAATTCTATCATCGTGCGTAAAATGTGATGAAAAAATTGCTAGTTAAAAATATGTTGCACAATTTATCAGTTGTACACATGTACTACGATTAACATGCGTATTACCAATGCAAATCAGAATGAAACTGTTTTCTAGTGACTTCCTCAATTTTATCAATAGCAGAGAGAAACTTCAGAGCCATTCCGAGACCTTTTTCGTGAAAAAATCTGTGAAATGCCAAATTCATACACAAATTCAAATCAACATCACATTCAAATCAACGTCAATTTTTTGCGATATTCACATTCCTATATTATATTCATATATTATATTATAGCTATTTTCAAATTTACTGTCAAAACTGCTAAAATGCTACAGTTTACGTCACGTACACTATAGATTTTTAGTACAGGCAGACAATTTTGGAACAAGATTTCTATTACATTATGTTTTATTATAATATATTATATTTATTACATTATATTATATTATATTATATTATTTATATTTATATTTATATGCATTTTTAACATCTATTTGAATATAAAAC